GGGAAGTCAAACTTCCCTCGTGCCATCAGTGATACAAAATAAAATCATTAGACACAACAACGTTACTGTTTTTTAAATTACTATCACAATGGTATTACGAATCGCAATGGAAGCAGCATGTTTTAGACTCTGCACCAATTTGTCCCAATTTCGTGAACGACAGAAGGATCACTCGCGCGAAGGATCGTCATTGTGACTGATTATAATCGCGGGTAAACGATTAGTCCGCGAAACTGACCTCTTTGTCGCGTGGTTTTGGTGCACAACAACGATAGGGAGGACGAATGAAAGGAACTGGTGGCAAAGAGCAAAAGAACAGGAAAATAAACGTCCCGCGTCCCAGTTTACATTTCATTTTCCTCTCTAAATTTGGTCCGACTCTATTCCCTGGCAACATTTCATTCGCTATTTTATCTTTGTTCTCTGGCTTCAGTGCTTCTCAACCGTTCACCGGTGAATCGAGTCGAGGTGTTTCAATTCCCCGCTCTGATCCATTAAAATTATGTAAATAAAGCAATGGCAGGGCTGTATAATGAAATTTTCTAGTGAAATAGATTGAGAGCTGGTACACTTGAATACACCGTTTCTATACACTACCTAAAATGCACGTACACTTCCGTTTACAAATTATGGGGCACCTTAACGTTTCGCAATAAATCGAGTCTACAATTGCAGATTTAGTTACTCACGTTAGAAATAAGAATCGATCGTATATTAAACAAATAACGTTAATTTGCCTCGAACGCAACCCTTTTCGATAAATAAATGTGGACCAGGGGATGAACGGACGGAAAGCCTGGCGACCAGGCTAAATTCAAGCACGAACAGGACAGTTTGACGTCAATGGGGGATAACAAAGTAAAGTGGAACAGCGTTTCTCGGCCTTTTGCTCGTAAATTTTTATCGATTCGACAAACTCTGACCCTTCGACTGGTCTCCTTCCCTCTCGAGCAGCTTGATTAAACCCGTTACGATCGCGCTTTAAATAGTAGAGAAAACGTTCGCGCCCGCTCGATCCTCCTCGAAGCTGAATGAACAACTTGAACTTTAAGAAAGAACCTTTCTTACGATCAGAGAAGGCGAAAACAGAGAACGAGTATATTACGTAACAAGAAGGTTACGATGTTGAATCTCTTGTGAAAATTGAACGGGGAATCTTGGAAGGAGGTTAATTGCATTAGTAGATTTATTGTTAATGAGAAACAGTTGGGAAATTATGTGGCATTGATTAATTATTAGTGACCTACTTGAATTCAGTTACTAACAAGGAAAAATAAAAGGAAAATTCTTTTTTTTTCCGCCTCTTTGTTGCCAGTCGCGTTACAAGTCGGACGCGTTGAAGGTACCCAATAACACACAATCGAGAAGTCGACTGCTCCTGCTTTCGCTATTCGATATTCAGGGAAAATGGAACTGGCTGCTGCTCCTGCTTTCTATGTGTTATCGTTCCAGCAGCGTTACCCATTTCATAGCCATCTCTGGAATACAACGCCGCCGGCTGTCTATGCTCCGTTCAGTCACGCTGACAAAATGGATAATAAAAAAAACCCAACCGAGTCGCATCGCCACGGCCACGTACATTGCACTTCAAAAATCTCCGGACACTTATCAACCTTTGTTAATGAAAATTTTCTAAAATTTTCATTGATTTCGACTAATCTATCATTACGATTTCAGGAAATATCAATTTCAAAGCAACGATCGTGATTCGCTTTAACAAAGGTTCTATTCTTTCTCAGTGTCCTTCTATTCCTTTGAACACTGTTCGACTTTTGACCATCCATTTTCAATTCTCCCCAGTGTTTCTCTATATCCTGGAAATGGCGCTACAGATCAATACCTTACCGACGTTCGTTAAATATAATCGTGTAAATAATGCACCACTGTGTAAATAACGAATTGCATGATAATTATATTTATTAATATCCCTAGCAAATAAACGCGATCGGCACAGCGTTCATTTCTCGAGCAGAGGGGTAGAAAGCTTGACGAGGAAATGGTCCTTTATTTTGTGACGGTTGTATTGATTTATCATGCGCCCTTTCGAACGAAAGGCGAATTTGCATAGGCGAGAATTAATTATATATACTGAATCAATTTCCAAATTGAAATTTCAATTTGGAAATTGATTCATCCCGAAATGCGTCTAACCGAAAAAGCACTGTTTACCCAGTTGTTACCAGTTGGTAAACAAAACATATTGTTATCCACTTTTATTCGAATCGAATAATTTTCAATTAATTTTATAAATTTCAAACTTATATAGGATAAAAACATTTTTGTGCAGGCGCAATGCATCGATGTCGGATCGAAAGGGTTAAAGGTGAAAATTTAACACGGGACCAGCTAAAGCGATATCGAGTTCACCTAGACGTAAGACTATAAAGGGTTAAGATCGATCGTTGTTTCGAGAAGGAAGGACAAAGCGTGCCCCGTCAGATAATCGCGTCGCGTGTCGAGATCCATGTTCGCGTTTCGCGGAGAAAAAAATATTCGACTCTCACGCGAAACCGCACGCACGAACGGACAGATATCCGGTCGACGTACCGTTGCACGGGCCGTTGCTTCGCGGTATAACGCGATGAACTTTCGAACTCGATTCGAAACCCAGACCGACTGCCTTTCAAGTCGGATTTATCAACGCGTGAACCCGTTTGTCGACGCTCGATGCGTTTCTAAATCCCCCGCGGAAAGAGAATCGGCTATTACCATCGTCGGCCACGCCGCTTGTTTTCCTCTAATCTCCGTTTTTAATCGCGCATCACGTTTTCACGTCCGCAGTTTTTCGTTTCGCCCCAGCGAACAGTTTGTTTGGGGCATCGTTATGCCTGAAAATATTCCAGCTATGACATACCAGCTGGTTAGTTAAAAATTTGATCGTTGTTACGATAAAAAAACCGGTCTGTTTTTTATGAATTTATCCGAAATTTCATCGTCGATATTAATTAATAACTGTGGAGTTAATTTGAAATTATTTGCTAAATTTTATACTATTTTTCCAATCTATGGAAATTGTTCGTTTAAAAACTGATGTGCTTAGTTTTGTGTGAAGTACATTTTTTCTTGTGAGCTTGAATATCAATTCATTCAATATAGACTGCAGAGTACTAGTGGTCGTTAAAAAAGAACTTTGAAAACAGTCAAGCAGAATACATGTATACAAAAAATTTCAATAGACATCATAAAGGTATCATCGACAGGAAATTTGTATTCATTCATCACAAATTTATAGTCGTGCAACGATTCATATTCATGGGAATTTATATTCATGAATACAGTTCACGCCAATATTCTGCAGTTTTATGAACTTAACACCATTCCTTTTCCAATTATCTAAATTCTAACAGAAAATCCATATTCTAGCAATTTTTGGGGATGCATGTCTGAAGCAAACAATTAAAAACCATTTATTGATCGTCTCGTTCTGGCAATAATTCTCAGTCCCTGCGACACTTACTTTTCGTCAATTTTCACAATAACGTCGTGGATCAATGATGAAAGACGCTTAAAACTAAGAATAATACCTCTTAAAAACGTTTAGGAAAAGGCGCGATATGGAACGAGGATACAGATCCACCTGGGCAATTTTATTCTCAATTTGTCGTGGAAAAAACGATGGCTCTCTTGCGCGAGATTCTCGTAGCACCGTAGACACGTCGAAAGGCTCGAGGCTCGGACAACAAGTGGTGCCGTAACGAGCTTTTTATGATGAATGTGTTGCCCCATGTGCGAAAACGTGACTCCCTCGAGCACGTGCTCACCTGGCCGGTTCGCGGCTCCTTGACCCGTGAAACGGCTCCGGGCATTGTTTACCACCGCGAAACAACCAAGAGTTCACCAAGATAAGGGAACATATACGGGGTTGAAACACAGGTACACGAAAATATTCTATATCTCTGTATGCATATCGCAACGCAATTAAAATATTCTGGATATATACTATCGTTGACGCGATACAGCGAATATCGTAGACAACGATGTCAACGAAGTTATCAAATGAAAAAAGGAAATTAATTCTCGGAAAGATAGAGCTTAGTATACACTGCAATCAAACAGCGTGAGTCATATTGATTACAAGAAACTTTGAAGGTTTTAAATATAGTTCTATCGGTAGACTACTTGTTTTAGCTTTAAAAATGAAGATGAAGCTACGTAACCTATAGATCTCGAGAAACATGCCTTCGTCAGAGTGTTAATAATTGAAAAGTCTGAAATACTGCCAGTCGTAAAGTGTAGGGTGAACGATTCCCGGTTCCAATTCAATTACACATCCCCGGCCAAACGTTTCAGCAAAATTTCATCGAATAACGTTTAATTAAACCCCTTAGAAATATGTCCGTGCAAAAATACAATCTCGCCCTTCCTGTTCCGGTGATGATTTGTGTCCCGAAGGAGCACGAAGAAAATATTCTCTTGTTAAATCCCAGGAGTTATAGAACGACGACGATGGCTGACTGCATCGTTAGCCCAACGATACAGACAATTCTTTTCTATTTTGATACGAATAGGATACGGCGACGACGACGACGACCTCGTTTCTCTTCGCCAGCTATCAAACCAACCCGCAAATAATTTTCTCCTTATTCTCGCTGTTTTTCCATCGTGCGGTTCTTCCTTCATCGGTTACTCGAGTTCGATACCGATAGCTTTCGGCACTTTACGGATATTCTGATCGAAATAGCAACAAAAAAAAAAAAAATGCGGTCCACCAAGTAACATTTGAATAATTCCACGTGGGATTGTATTTTTCGAAAACTGTGATCGCCGTAAGGAAATCGCATTTCAACCAATGCCGGAAATATTCCGCGCGAACACGGTTGCAAGCAGTATTCAATTTTCAACAAAAAATCATATGAAAAATTCAATCTCTGCGACGCGAATCGTAACTCATTGTAACTCTATAACTTCGACTATTTTTACATTCACTAAATCACTTACAGATAACTTCAAATTTTCACGTTAGATATGTATGTAAATTTAAATGGAAAAAAGTAACTCACCTACATGTAGTCTCTGTTTAAACGAATCCTATGCAACCACCTGAAACACAAAAACAAATCAGATATTAGACACACAATTATTAAAGAATTATAAAATCTTTCATTCCATCAAGATCAGGTAATTAGTCTGGAAAGAAATTTATATAATAATCGAAGCTATTTAGCGCAAAATCAAAGGTAAATTGCTGAAACAAGACACAAAGATGACGATGTATCTATGAAAGTCTTCAACATCCTGGTAAGAAGCCTGATGGTTGTCATGTAAATCGTAATCCCAACATCGAAGATTGAAAAGTGGAGCACGCTTGGGACGACGACGGTCCCCTTCGTCGCCACGGTCCCATCCTCCTTCGGCCATTATCATCGAAAGCGGATTCGAGCGCTTCGGCAACTTTCAACGAAGAATTTATTATAATCGCATTCAAGAACGTCTTATGGCTACGACTGCAAAGTAGCTATTCCATGGTGCGGGCAAAAGGGAAGGGTGGAAAGTAGGAAGCTGATTGAAACTCTGAAACATTTGCTCCGTTGGGTAACTTAGCAGCCAATCGTCGCAGATAAGTCGGTCTTCCCCAGTTAACGGTTTCCTTAATTAACCGTCTACCGTCTCGTGGTCCTGCTTCCCGCCACGACGAGGACGGATATCGAGAACTTTTCCCACCAGACCACCCTAACTGCTTCTCTATTAATTCACCATTATCACAAGAAAGTATAGCAACAATCCAAGGACCTTGCCTCGTTGGCCGAGCAGCGAGTTAATAGCTTCTCAACGTTCTTCGCCGACCGCTTAATTACCAGCTAGATAGCGCGTGAATTCTGCCAGATAAATACACGATCGTGTAATTAAGATCGAAACGATCGTCCAGTTACTTCGACGGAATGATACGCTTTATCCGATGATGTTCTAATGATTTTTCAGGACAGTTTGTTCATGCTCGTTCTATATACATATTGGACATGTTGGATATTTTTACATTATTATTCTTTACTCTATTTTAAATACTAATTAGGTAATTTCAAAAATTGCTATCGCATCAGCGTTCTGTTCAACCAAGTGGTCAGCATAAACAATGATATTTCCTTATTAAACATACCTCCATCAAATTATGTAAATGTACCGTAATTGCCAATAAATTAATCGACGTATAAACCGATGCAGTTATAATTAAAGCTCGATCAAATTAAACATCGATATTGTTGCTTATCTTTGTGAAATTGTAGCAGCTTTAATAAAAAAAAAGTGAAGCAATACGAATGAAACGTAGCAAATGAAATGTAATTTTAATTCCTAGAAAATGCAAAGGAGAGAAAGAGTTCATGAACGATATTGATTGATCGTTATTTCTCGTGCGTGAAGAAATTCATTAACTGATTAAACGAATATATGATGGGTTTTTTAACGCGTTACCGACAAAAAATTGAATATTCAGAGCTGACCTCAAACCTCTTCCGTAATTTGATTAATTGTTTGACCTACTGTGCAGATTTCTTTCCTCTGGTATCAAGGAACAGCTACGGAACTGTGTTATTATGATGAAAATATTTGCTAATATGCAGACGGCGAAGCGGCAAAAAGCCTTTCGAAGCGTTTCCACGAGGAATTGATGTAAATACAAGTAAAGTGTATTACTAACGAAGAACTTGAAGAACGTAAATAATGCAACTCTTCGTATTATCACGTTCAATTAACCGTGAACTTATTCAGAAACTTTTATCAGAAAATGTAAACATACATCTTTTTTACGTAGCCAGTTGCAAAATGTTTAACAAGGCACGAAGTAGCTAAGTGAATGTTAGAAACATAGTATAGTGGAAGAGGTAATTTAAAGCCCTCGAGCCATATTTCTTCTTATAAGAATTCTTCGTTACCATAGCAAGTTCGGGCTACTGTTTTAATAGTAATCATTAATTAATTTTTCCTTCCTTACCTCAGAAATTTTTATCTTAATCCATCCTTTCTACTGCAATAAATTTAAGAATCTAGAACGCTCTACATCGTGAAATTTACGATTCACAGACAAACTCTAACAAGCATCGGCGAACGAAGTAAAGGACTTCCGAATAAGTGAAGGGGTTGCTTCATCGAATGAAGAACGATCGAGTACTTCGACGTCCAATGGACTACCGGGAGAATAGCACAAAAAACTCCGCTCGAGGATGGTTTCAAAAAGCCAAGATGTTCCTGCGGATAAGCGCGGGAAAACGACAAGTGGCCGAGAGTAATGGAGGAGAAATAAGGGTACGAAGAAGAGGAAGAAGTACTAGAATGCCGTGTCCAGGACGATGGCGCATAATTTAAGGTCTTCGTTTTATTAGGGATGCACCGTAGCGTGAGTTTGAATGCCGCGAGGAACCGCACGGTCACGAAGCGTTCCCTCAAAGACGCGGGATTAAGGGTACGGAAACTTCGTCGAACGATAACAATCGACGATTTGGATCCATAATCCGCGTGCCTCATGTTCGTCCAAACAGTTTAACTTGGACGAAACTTGGCGCCTCGAAACGAGCGTGATAAACGATCGAAGTTTCTCCTTTCATCGGCTGCCATGGGATGCTCCCGTTCGACGAATGCTTCGAATTCCAGCGCGTCGTTGACGCTTCACCTCTTCACCCCTTTCTCCTGACCTTTTCTCTCTTTCCACTGTTCACTAAATTATCACGTCCCGTTCGAGAATGTCGATCCACTCGCATCCACCCATCCCACTCCACTGTATTTTTAAGTTATACGGTATATTCTGCCTCTATGTATTATTTTATAAAAAAAAGAAATGGGCTATGATGTAATAAACGTGTTAAAATACTACAGGATATAGTATTTCAATTTTTAATTACAATTATCAAACAATGGTGCATCGATACTTTTCTGCGGCTCTTCGGGGATTTTACAAAATCCCAGTGTTCCCGTGTTCGTTGTTTAAGGCCGCGTTTTAAACCTCGCAGTCGAGAAGTTAATCGATACTTCAAGAAAGATTCGGGGTAGTCTGAAAAGCGGACTTAACTTTCGCTCGGTTGGTAATAAAGCGGCTTACTCACGTCTTACTGAGCACATCCGTTGGTTCATTCGCACCGATTGCTCGCCTCGTTTTCCAACTATTTTTCCTATTCGCCTTTGTGTTCGTTGTGCAATAATTCCTTCAACTTTCCCGATGCACCGATATTTCAACCACGCGAACGTACTACATATCTCTGACAGAACGTCACACTGTATCGTAAAATTTGTTTCTTGAGTCAGTTATCAATGATAAAGAGTAAAATTAGATAGCTTATCTTTCGATTCTGTTACGAGTATTTTGTAAAAAGAAGATTGGTTGATTAATGGTGATAAATTGTAATAAAAGATTATTCTATGATGGCCGTTCTACTTGAAATTATAGGTATTCAATTAAGGTATTCAATAATAAAATTCAATGTGTTCGCATTTTAAAGGTGCATTTCTGCAATGAGGTTTTATAAAGCATCTCTAACATGGTACATCAATAGCCGGCTGCAAGAGAAGGTTGATGGGATAAGTGTATAGATATCTGCATGAAGCATCCGGTTTTTCCTCGTCTGAAAGTTTTATACGCACACGCTGAAGAAGCGGGTATATAACGTGCTCTGGCCGGGAAAGAAGTTCGCTAAAATATCCGTCCACGCAAAGTGCAGAGACGTAAATTGCATCGAGCACTGCATCGGTGAAGATACGAAGAACGGAGCGAGCCTCGACGGTGGTCGCGATCGATTGCGTTCTAGCACACTTCCTGCTCTTTTCGTAACAAGTTAAATTAAGAAAAAAAGAAAACGGAGAACCGCAAAGAATCTTTCCTCAGTGAGAATAAATTCAGAAAACCGTCGGACGTTGTTAGTCGTCGTTTAAATAGAAAAATCGAAGCAAGAAAAATGATAAGTAGAAGATGCTTTAAAAATATTTTATTATATCTATTATTAGACATACGCGTTAATAAAAGATAAGATGGTAAAATAAAAAAATCTACTGAGTTGCGAGGAAATACAATCGCTATTGTCACAATGATTGACAGAGAAAATGGAGAATGCTATTGTTAACTTCGAGATAAACATAAATAACATTAGTATTGGGTAGAGAGAGAATATGACTACTGAAGAATGCTGAAACATGTTCTAGTTTCCCTCTATTTTCGTTACAAACGAAATCAAAGATTTACAGCACCCGCGACGTTTCCTTTAACGCGTTACCTGTCGGAGTCCCCCTTCGTGACACTTGAATTTCCATTGGAATCTATTGCCCCTATTATTAGGAATTCATTTATTTATTTAATTCGAAATACCGAAATTACGAAATCGTTATACAACAAAAAAAAAACGGAAAAATTACAATTAATTCAAATGCTGTATATTTTAATTAAAAATTTCATTGGTAAAAGAATTTTGATGCTGCCAATTTAATAATGTAAGCATAATAATTCGACGTGATATAGGTTGTTTGAAAGTGAATAAAGTTTAACAAGTTCTGTAATATGTATAGACTGAAGTGTACTTAAAAGTGAGATTAACGGCGGCCACTTTTCATGCTATAACAGGTCAGTTCGGGTTGGTACCTGAAAGTTTTGCAACTCGGTTACTGCTTCAAAACTTCCTTAACAAGTTGATTACCACGGAGGTCACCGATGATCAATACCATTATATACATCGAATTTAATTAAAAAGCTTGCAATAAACACAACCTGATACTTGCAACTCGTTCCTCGATACTTATAAAGTTTCGAGTGACTAACTTATCGACAACATGACACAACCGGCTTCCTAACAAGTTATTGAAAAACTTGTTGTTCTTTTCAGCCACCGCGTTCAAGCTGTTAACTTAACAAGCTTAATTTAATAATAGTCTACCATGATTTACGTAGACATTTAATATTTATACTTTAATAAATATTTTAAAAAATAGTCGAGGATATTTGAATTCATGGAATCGTGAATAATGGAAAGAATATACTCTCTTTTAGAATTTCTTATATTTGAAGAGACGAGTTGACGGGAGTATATTTTAAATAATAACATTCCATCAAGCAGAAGGATCACGAG